GGGCTGGCTGGCATGTGGTACTGGGGGATTGAACCGCGGTCCCTGTGCTTTGCTAAGCTTGTTCTAAGCAGGTGCTTTAGACCATTGAGCCATCTCACCAGCCCCTGCTATGAATTTAAAATGTCTCTAAAACTAAATCACTTTTTTTTTTTAACAGTAGAGGTAGCTTGTAAAATAGATTGATTATAACTGAGTTGTTCCCAATCAGCTTAAAATACATTTTTTCTTTTTGTATATGGACAAGAGCTGAGATGTTCTAGGCACTCCAGGGCTTGGCTTGGGCATTGTGTTTTCAGAGAATGAGAACAGTGAAATACTCCTAACACTAAAACCAAACATGCTAAGGGGCTGGAGATTTGGCTCAGCAGTAAAACACTTGCCTAATAAAGCTGGAAGTCCTGGTTTTGGTCCTTAGTACCAAAAACAAAAAATAAACCTCTCCTAAAACCAAACACGCTATAACTTAATGTTTAGATACTTAATTGCTGTTCTCAAAGGCTTTTCAGAATATTTTAAAGCAATGTTTCTCTTAGGACACCTTTTTTTTTTTTGTACTTGGGATCAAACTTGGGACCTTGCCCTTGCCAGGTGGGCACTTATGCTGCTGAGCTATCTCCCCAGCCTCCTTAGCTTCCAAAGACACTATACATCTGGGCATGGTGGTGCCTGCCTGCAATCCCAGCACTCAGGAGGCTGAGGTAGGAGGATCATTGCAAGTTTCAGATCAGCCTGTGCTACAAAGTGAACTCAAGGACAGCCTGAATTGCATAGGGAGACCTTGTCTCAAAAAGACCAAAAAAAAAAAAAAAAAAAAAAGATACTATCCATCCTGAGCCTATAAGTAGGCGATTTTTTTTTTTTCAAATGCACATTAAGGGGTGCTGGTGAGATAGTTCAGTGTTCTAAAGTGCCTGCTTAGGCAAGCTTAGGAAAATGCAGGGACCGCAGTTGGATCCCCGGCACCACATCCACATCAGTCCTGCCCCCAGGGTTGGCTGAGCTGGTCACAAAAAATAAATAAAATAAAATAGAAGCACATTAAGGGGGCTGGGGAGATGGCTCAGTGGAATAAGCACTTCCCTGGCAAGCGCAAGGGCCTGAGTTCAATCCCAGGTTCTGAAAAAAAAAAAAAAAAAAGCACATTAAGGTTTAGGAACCAGTCATAGAGTAGGACAGTCAAATTAGAAATATCAATCATCATTGCACTCCATAGATGCAGACATTGTGCATAGATGATTTGTCTGGATAACACAGGAGACTCAGGTACCTCTTACCTCCAACTAGTTTGCTAACACATCACCCTCCCTGTGAGCACATTCCTGCTTTAAAATTGGATGTCACCCATTCAAAAGAAAGTGTTGTGCTACTGTTTCTTTTTTTGTAGGAGAGACTCTTTTATGTCTATGTCTTGTATTCCAAGTAACTACTTTGAAGATAATGATAGGGTATTAACTATTCTTACTTTCTTATGAAATTTTGTTTCTTTTTCCCATTAAATAAAAAGATTGGGAATCATCCTCTCCCCTTTGCCTCCCACCATCCATCTTTCTCCATACTTTCTCTCTACTATGTTATACTATATTATATCTGCTATAAATACTATGCTATAAATTTATTTATCTCACTCTTGTCTCTAAAAATTAGGTTTCATAAGGGAACATGCTGAGAATAGAGCACCTAGCACAGTGTCAGGAACACAGAAAGTGTTCTTAGTGCTTGCTTGGGTATAATATTATTATTTTTATTTATTTTCTATTTATTTATTTATTTATTTATTTTTGCGGAACCAGGGATTGAACTCAGGTCCTTGCGCTTGCCAGGGAAGCACTTATTCCACTGAGTCATCCCCCCAGCCCCTGGTATAATATTATTTGTCGAATAAGAACAAGTGGATTTCTCAAGAGGATTTTAAAAGTTATAAAGCAAATTATTCTTTTATTCTCTGAGTGATGCTCTCTGTCTGACTAGAAAGGAACAACTGAGACTGTGTCCCCTAACCTCCTAATTCTGGAGTTTGGGCCAGTTGCTCTAAGGATCATTTTCCCTTCATACCACTGAGAGCTTCCATTTACTATGAGAATTTCCAGCTGTATTGTTCTTTCTAGGCCACCCCTACAAGGACTTGTTGCCCCTACTGTGAATAAAATGAACTGAAGCTGCCCGGTAGAGATGAACCTACAATGGGAAGGGACCTCTCTTCAAGTCCACCTGTTACTGTGACAAAGGAAGTAGATGCTTCCTCCTCTAAGGTCCTAAAGCAGGATGCTAATTAAGTAGATTCTATCTCCTACTTCCCATATATTTTTGGCTGGCTCTGTACAAATGACCCTCACCCATCTGCAGTCCTCCCCATCAAGAGTACTGACACACAAATCAAAGCTCATGGACACTTTGAGCTGTGCCCGCACCAAGCCCCCCCCCCATTTTATACACAACCAATCTGAACCTCAGATCTAGGAATAGTCAGTTCGCTACCCCTGGGGGTGCTTTCCTAGGACACACCCGATGTTCCAGCTTGTGTTGACATGGCAGGGATGTCCTGGTGGGATGCCCACCCCCTCCTCCAAGCCTGTAGATGCTGAGAAACTGTGGGACCCAGTAGGAGGATACAAACAGGAAAAAGCAAGTCTGTTTGTGGTGTAAGGCGCACAGAGTGACAGGATATCCCTGCTGAGTATTCCCCACGAGGTCCCCAAGGAAACCTTTAAAGTGAGTCTCTCACTTTCTTGAAAGTGTGGTGGTAGGGGGTGGACAAAGTGTGGTAAGAGGAGGGGGATGGGTACCCCACTGGAGTCAGGGTTAGGATGCACACGTTAATGGGTTAGAATGCACACACTAATAAAAGGTGGTTGAATATAAGACGCACAAGATGGATAGTGCTGAGACCCTCCAGCAGGGATAGGGATGGGACGGATGGCAGCTGCTTTGATCCTTCATTGGCTTGTTCTGTCCGGGAGGTGAGGAGAGCCTTAGGTTTGGGGGTAGAGGGAGTCCTCAGGAAAGTGGCCTGTCTCTCCAACAGCGAGCCAGAAGAGACTTTCTCCGAGTTACTTCCAGGCTGGAGAGGGAGTTTTGGGGGCAGGTGAGGTGGCTGAGGTGCAAACACTGGGGATCCCGGAGGCTGAGGGGTGGGCATTGGGAGGAAGAGGTTTGCCTTCATGGGAAAGCAGTTTCAAAATGAGACTGCCGGGGAAGTAACTCAAAGGCAGTGGGTAGGTGGTTCAGGTTCTTCCATTCGGATTGGGTGGAGCTAGAACTCTGTAAAAGAGGGGTATCCTTCGAAGGGGTAGGGGCACAGCTGAGATCTCGGGGTCCTAAACTGGAGGCGGGAGGCTCTAAGAGACGTTGACTTCCCTGCCTCGGTGGGTAGCAGGCGGTGAGCGGCTGGAATCCGGTTCCGCGAATCCAGACAGGAGTCTGAATGGGATTGAACGAAGCAGGAGACTCTTGACACTGGGCGTGGGGGTGGCGCTCACAGGGAGCCCAAGCTTGGGGCGCGGGGTGGGGAGTGGTTCCCAACCCACCACAGGGGTTACAAGTAGGGAGAAAAGGAATCGAGAGGGGCTGGGGGTACATCTCACCCGACAGCAAGGTCTGGAAGAGGGATGAGGGAAACCATTCAGTTCCTATTGGGATGCCACGGAAGCTCCCTACTCGGGACGCGCAGAGAGGGCCCCCCAATTTGTGTATGGGGTCTTGGGAGTGGACAGAGGGCCGCTGAGCAGGGACTCTAAATTAGATTCAGAAGAAACTGGGGGCTCGAGGGGCGTCTTCTAGCTCGGACTGGGAGAATAAGGGATTCTGGCTAGGGAATGGGATTTGGGGGTACCAGGGCTGTCGCCTCCCCGGCCCAGGGGCATTGGGTGGGTCTCTTACGTTCAGGACGTCGAGGACCTGAGAGGAAAGACTAAGGGGTTCCCGTTCGGACCCGAGCTACCTTGAAGGCACCGGGAAGCGCTTCGTTCCGGGAGGGCGTTCCCGCGGCCCGGCCCCTGCGCCGGTGTGGGTGGGGGTGCGGCCGCGCCCCGGCC